CTCTCTCTCTCTCTCTCTCTCTCTCTCTCTCTCTCTCTCTCTCTCTCTCTCTCTCTCTCTCTCTCTCTCTCTCTCTCTCTCTCTCTATGTGTGTGCAGAATGGCAATGAGTGTTACCCCGGTTCCGGTTGGTGCTTTATTGCACCACCAAACAAACGACCAGGGGCCTCCTCCCTCTTTCTCTCAACCGTCGGGTCCCTCTCTCGATTGTAAACATGGCCCGTTGCCATCCAATCTGAAAATCTCACGGCCGTAGTGTGACCAAGTTGAAACATACACGAAACTTCGACTAAACGGGGATGCCTTTTTTTTTTCTTTTTTTTTCAAAAATTAAAAAAATATATATTTCGATCGAAATATATATATATATATATAAGCAGGTGCCCGTTTACAGTCCCCACATGTGCATGCAAAAAAACAATACCACTACCTGGCAAAAAAAAAAAAAACGGACTTCCCGCTCTCAGTGAACTCCGTGAACTCCACGCGATCACGTTTTTGGTGAATGGTGGCCGACCCGCGTTCACCAATGCCGTGAACGGTGAACGGGGGTATGACACTGCCCCAAAGTAATGAGCTCTCCTACTTAGAGCATCAGCTACCACGTTATACTTGCCTTTGACACGTTTCAATTCTAAGTCATACTGGTCTATCTATGCTGCCCACATAGTCAATTTGAACGTCATCTTGACTTATGTCGTAAACTATTTCATAGTTTCATGATCTAAGTAGAGTTTAAAGTGTCTCCCAAGCAGGTAATGTTTCCAATGATTTAATGCTTGTTTGAGAGTGTAGAGTTCTCTCTCATGCGTCAAGGTGGCTACTTTTTCAGAAGGCACCCTAGCTGACATGAACTCTACGGGTCCAAAACCATCGTCGTCATTCTGTTGTAACACATCGCTTATGCTATATTGGCTTGCATTTGTCAAAGCGGCAAAGGGTAATGAGGGTCATTGAGGGATCAGCCACCTTGAGGACACAATATTTTACCAAGGCCCTCTTTAATTTTTTTAACGCCAAGTGCAGATCGTTTTCTTCTTTAGGAGTTTGCGAAGAGGAGTAACGACAACAAAA